CATGAATTGAAGTTCTGACTGTCAACCAAAGGAGACACGCCTGGATTTACTTCTTTACAACTGTATGATGATGGTGCTGCTGATGACCTCCTATACAAACAGCCATGTGCTAACCTAGCAGTAGATTTTGTCCAGGGGTTGGCAACCTTTGCTATCAACAGAGCCATTTTTGACCAAAAATAGTAAAAGAAAATGTTTGGAGCCACAAAACATATTTGAGCCTAATGGTTACTAATAGGTCTAAGTGAGCATTCATCAATGTGATTTACCACAAGGTGGCTACTTTGCAGTGGGCTATTTATGATTTTTGGTGCTTGAACTATGCAGCATTGGCGGTGAAAATAAACAAATCTGTCCTGGCACTATTTAGATATCTATTTTCCTCAAAAAGATTTTTAGATTTGGAATCCATAGGTAGCCTAGCTCAGAGACTAAAGACAAGCCAACACTGTTGATGGTCAGCAAAACTTAGAATTAAAGGTGCCAGGCTGTACACGAATGAACACATTTTAGTTGATGAAATGTTTCACTTTTTTAAAAATTTGGTGCGCTGGAGAATGTAAGAGTTTCTTTAGGTCTACAGTGACGCTAAATGAAAATTGTTCAGAAAAAAACTAGCAAACAAAAAACAGTCTCTTAGTCTTTTTTGTTTTTGGTCAAAACCAATGGGAGACAGTGGAGAGGGACTAAAAAGTCACATGTGGCTTAAGAACCACAGGTTGCCTATCTCTGGTTTAGGCACAAAAAGCAGAGACATGTCAGTTAAAAACACCCAGGATCTGCGGCGAAAATACTGATGGGAAACACCATGAAGGGTTGGTAAAAACACCCAGTGTCGTTGGCTAAAATGAGTCTGAGAAATTTAAACTAACTGCAGGGAGTGCGTATTTTTTGGAGAAATGGGACTTTGTACCAGTGGGAGTTTGTTTTTGGGATACAGGCTGAGGGAGAAATGTGTTTTCGGTCCAATGGGACATTTTAAGGATGAATGGGGCTTTGGAATTTTGGGCTGTTGGAACAAAGGCACACCAGCGTTATGTTTAGACACAAAACCCACTTGGTTATGGTTTGAAAAAGATCATATTTTGGCTTGAAATACCCAGTTTGGGTGGCACAATTGCAGCTGGAAAGCCACTAATGTCTCACAAAAAAACAGGCACTGTTGTTTACGCACCATCCACCATCCCCTCCACTTTCAAATGACAAAGTCAGCTCATAAATACATGTAATCAGAATGATGTAACTCTAGAAATATCAATTAATTGGCTTTTCTTTGTTTTATATCATCTTAAGTTGAATATCTTTGGGTTTTGAGCTGTTGGGCTCTGTTCACCTGTGATATGCATTTCCCCTGTTTTTCAAAATTCCCATAAATCAGAACAAATAATTTACACATTAATTGATGTTGAGAATAAGCAATAGTTGCAGCCCTAATCTGAAAAGAACTTCCATCATTGAGGACAAAGTTTGGGATGCATATTTAGAGGAAGAAGATTGAAAATCAAGACTTAGCGAAGGAAATCATTAACTGATAACCCTCTTCCTCTGAAACCATGCATATGCTATCGAATGCTGTTGATTTGATCTCTGTTGCCTGGGTTGCTGCTTCGCTGACAGTTTTGCTGTGTCACTTGCAGGACGCAGAGTGCTGACTCCATCTGTGATTTCAGTCAGCGCCGCTTTAACCTCAATTGCTCCTCTGATATTAAGCGCATTCTCTATCCCATTGATTCATTTTCAAAGACCGTTTTCATTTTCCAAGTCATTTTTTCATTTTGCTTCGGTCCTATTTTCTACCTCGCTAATTACTTTGACATTAGTAATTCTATCACACAGCAAACACTTAGTCTCAATTTCAGATGGAAACGACACAATGGTCCCTTTACTGACAGTCCTCAGTTTGCCCTGGTCGGCCTTTGAGATGCTTCAGTTACTGGTTAATAAAGCAGAAGGAATATTTGGCTTTTAGCAGCCTCAGATTTTAGGGAAGGCTCAGCTCGAGAACTCTGCCAAAACTGCACAGTGCCATTTGTCAACACAGTGGCCCCAGAGCACAGGGCTTCATTTGCAGTTGATATCGTCACTGTTTTGCACTTGTGATTGATCACTCGGGGAAACTGAGTTCACCTCCACTTTGCTCCTTTTGGCTACAGCTCGAGGAGCTTTGAATCAGGGATTCTTGCAGATAGTCTCCTCCATGACCTGCAGGCAAAGATTGATGTTTGTCCATAGAAAGAAGTAAACATCAGAGTAATACTGTTATGACCCCAGAGTCCTGTTGACTTGGTAGTGTGTGTGTTTGCTTGTGTGCCCTGCAGGTACTTGGTGGGGTGGAGTTGAGATTGGATTGTCCTGGCTGGGAACACCTGGTTCCTGAGCTATTTAAGCAGCCTGACCAAAAAGGCAAATGAACAGTTATTTCAATACAGAGAAATTCAATAATTTCAGATGCAGTGTTTAAAAAGCTACGGCGACCTTAATAAGGCTCATTGTTTTTTAAACCATGTTAACATTAAAAAGCGCTCTTCTTCTTCTTCTGGGTGAGGTCAACCTCTGTCACCACATGACTGCTAAACCTACAGATCATATCCTCCTGAGACCCTGCGTCCTCACAAGGACATTACATTTTAGGTTTACTTGACCATATACTGCATTCTGCTTAAAGAGATAGTGCACCCAAAAATGAAAATTCACGCATTATCTTCTCACCCATATGCCGATGGAGGCTCAGGTGAAGTTTTAGAGTCCTCACAACACTTGCGGAGATCCCAGGGGAGAGGGAGTAGCAACAGAACACTTGGATCACTACGGACGAGCAGTATGGAGATATTTTGTGGTTTCACTTATGTGTTTTTGGACGTTTGAATCTGGGGCGCCATAAGCCTCCATTAGCTGGAGTTTTGTTGCTACCTCCTCTCCCCTTGGATCTCCGCAAGTGATGTGAGGACTCTAAAACTTCACCTGAGCCTCCATCGGCATATGGGTGAGTAGATAATGGCTGAATTTCCATTTTTGGGTGCACTATCCCTTTAACTTAGACCGGTTGTCCTCATTCGTGGATTCTTTTTTTGTGCCATCTAGTGGTAGTAAGAGCACAATACAATAATCCATGTGAAAACAAGATGGCAGCCATCTCTGCCAGGTCAGTCTGCAGTTGATCCCGACACAAAAGTGAACAAGGTCCAAAACCTGATCACATTTTATGGTTGAAACTTGTATATTTATGATTAATAATGTTTGTAGTTTGGTATGGCAACAAATTTGACCAATTTTAGCAATAGTAACAAGCTGTTAATTAGGAAGTACTGGTTTGAAGACATTGGGACTTTAGTATTGTCTCGTTTGACGACATTGGTACTTTATTATCATTGACAATGTTTAGTTTTTTATACTTATCGGGTCCTACTGATCTCAAATAGCTAGGAGAAAATGCATACCAAACAAAGGCTTGGGTCTCAGGAGGATATTAAAAGCCTGTTAGACAGGAAAATGTCTTCTTACAACGTGATTATAAAGTCATTTTGTGACACACATTGAAGGTCCAGTGTGTCAGATTTAAGAGGATTTAGTGGCACCAAGCAATGAGGACTGCAGATTACAACCAGATGAAGCTTCTCCATGTCAGAGTTCCTTCACTCACTGACCATTGTTCAGGAGGTGTTTACCAAGAGTCAAATTGTTTGCAGAGGTCGCTTCCTCTCCAAAACAAATGGACCAGGTCATTTAAATCGGTCGGGCTGCGATCCAAGCACCTGCTGATATGTGCTCACCTTTTGTTTCTGATCATTCAGGAGGTTTTTACAGAAGCTGAATTATCTGCTGAGGTTTCTTCCTCTCCAAAACAAGCAGACCTGATGATTTAAACTGGTAAAAACACAGAATAATGCAGTTTGGCATTTAAGTAAATCAATATTTTTCTGACGCTCTCCTCATGAAAGGGCCTGCTAACTATGGACATGAACTTGACTCTTATTTTCAGTTGATTATACACTAAAGAAAACATACTTCTTATATTACATTTCATTTCTGCCAGTACATCTCCCTAAATCCTTCACACTGGACCTTTAACATTACAGCACTTAGTGGTGCCACATTGTGGTCAGCTAGTAATTACCCAGTCACAGTGGGTCACTAACGACTCTCTGATCTCATCTGATAGTCAGACTTGTTAGAAATAAATACATCTGACAGCAAAGGGCTATGTTTAAAATCATAGGTCTGTGTCATTGTTAATCAGATAAAAAATGAAAATGTTTCTGGAAAAAAACGACCAGCCGTCACATCAAACACAGACAGATTAGCTTTGTTCATATATTCACTTTTTGGGTACAGCAGCTTTTACAAGCAGAAGCAGTCAACATTAGTCACCCCCCACTGAGCTGTTGGGGCATCAAACACTTTATTTTCTGCATTCTGGTGAATTTTTAGGCACCAATTTGCAGCAATTTATGGCACAAATGTCTTTTAATACTGTAAAAATTAAAGTCCTCTGCTACTGCTGTGTTTTATTGGAGTGGATAAGTGCACACGTTATACAAAACCTACACCTTTTTAGTATTTTTTCTCAACCTTATACTGGGACACACTAATATAGCAAGCAAAACGGTTCTGATGAATTTGTTTACAATGAGTAGAAACAGTGGAACATTATTAAACTGCACTAAATGCGGAATTTAACGCTATATTGCGTGTTGAAATAGTACAAGGAATAAAAACATGAGGGACTGAAACTTCAATTTATCTTCAACTATCACAGAACGTACACATGGGCTTTAAAATAAAGATTTAAAACATAAAAATTGAAGCTGCAGAGCCCAAAAGGCAGGCTTCTGTGTCTAATTAAAGTCCTCTTTTCATAGGTCTAACTTATTGGTGGCGGAAGTGCCATAAGCATGGGAGCGCGAGCGCATGTTGTTGACTGCGCGAGGCTGCGTCATTTCCTGACAGAGGACGGTCAGAGGCGAGAGAGCCGCCAGTCTCTCCACTCTGTCGCTGTAGTAACGTCTGGGAAGCGGAGACACCGAGCAGCAGGTCACCTCAGCAGCCCAGGCGGACGGATAATACAAACTAAACCAGCTCGAGAACACGGCGCGTGCTCCGTGAAACACCGCCGGATAGATATTTTTATAAACTTGACGTCGTTTGGAAGTAACACGGACATCGGAGCGGGATAGTGTGGACAGCTGGACACCGAGCAGGAGCACAAAAATAACTTTTTATCCTCTTTTTGTCGTCGTCGAGGAAATATCTTCACTGTCTGGGTCGCGTGCGCAACAGTGGACCAAGTACAAGTCGGTTTAAGTTGTGCTGTTGTTTGTATTTGTGCCCGTGGAGCTGGTGACGGTGAGGCGGACACCAGAGAAGCGGCGGCTCGGCAGCCACCTGACCTCCTGGAAAATAAGACCGCAGCTAATGACACGCAGGCTGAGAGCCTTACGTGGGTCATTACTAAGCTCTCTGACGGAGCGGGGCGAGTTCTCCGCGAGGTTGTTGCACGTCCAAGTCTTGACGCACCCTTCCACACGTGAAGTTTGCAGAATCCAATTACTGATAGCCTATCTGAATTATGGTAAGTGCTAATTAATTTGTGTCAGCTGTGAAATTGAATTAGTTGGGACTTAATTGCCCGTTGAAGTTGCCCCCTTTCATCGCTCTACCCAGTAATAAGCGAGTGATCTGTCAGCGCCAGACAGCATGGATATAACCGGAGTGCACGTCCTCCAGCAGCGGTCGTGATGTCAAGCGCCGGTCTGATCCCGCGCCGCCAGCCTGTAATGCCTGCACTCTAACCCGCACCAGTGTGGCGCCGTGTCCCGGTCGCACCGCCAGGATGAGCAGCACCGACCTGGAGCGCATGTCGCTCAGCTCCTCGGCAAACTCGGTGGCCTCCAGCGCGCGGACGTTGTCGGCCAACGTGAGGAAGCTACACAACGCGCTCAACCTCCTGCTCAACGACTTCGAGAGGGAGCAGTTCATCCACTGCCTCAATGTGTACCACTCCAAACGCAACGTGTACGACCTGGTCCAGACCCTCAACGTGATCCTCAACGCGCCCAGCAAGCGGCAACTTCTGCCCATGCTGCGCCTGGTCATCCCCCGCTCTGACCAGCTCCTCTTCGAGCAGTACACCTCAGAGGGCCTCTACTTAAAATCGGATTTAGTTGCAAGCAACGGCAACGCCGACCCCCCGCCGGGCGACTTCCCCAGCGCCAGCCCGACTCCCCCCGGGCATTTCTCTCCAAACAACCCACCCGAGTTCCAGGTGGCGTTGCGCGGCTCGCCGGACAGCTTCAGCACCAGCAGCGATGGGACAGCTCCCCTCGTGCCGCTGCTCGGGAGGAACTTTGTCCACGAGCCGCCGGGTGAGATCCGGCAGGTCACCATGAAGCGACACAAGAGCAACGAGGGCCTGGGCTTCAGCATCCGCGGCGGCTCGGAGCACGGGGTGGGCATCTACGTGTCTCTGGTGGAGCCGGGGAGCCTGGCGGAGAAGGAGGGTCTCCGCATCGGCGACCAGATCATGAAAGTCAACGACAAAGTCTTCGACAAAGTCACACATGCTGAAGCAGTGAAGGTAAGTTTCTCTTTATTTTTTTGCACCACACCAAACCTGCACAGCTTTCACAACCTCTCCGTGCAGGGTGTAAATTGGTGGCCCGCAGCGATTCAGTGAACTGGCACGAATGCCACCGTCATGGGAGCTATTTGCACTGACCCTGTCCTCTGCATCTCCTGTGTGTAATAAGCTACTGCCCCATATTAATTATGTGTTTGGCCCCCGTGTCTGAAACTGACCTCTTGACGCTAACAAGCCTCGGATTGTTGAGGGAAATTGATTCTGTTGGCTGGGAGCAGCTTTGGCTATTTGTTATATCAGCAGGAAGTGCACTGCAACAGCACTGTGAGTGTAAACTGTACCTTGACTACTACCTCTAGGAAGCATGCATGTAACTAGACACTCTGAGAGCAGCTGGTAACCAAAGAGGAGTGTGTGTGCAGCCTCAGTGCTGGTTATACTTTCCTGCTGGCTGTTGTTAATGCCCAACATCTATTAGCAAATTAGGCAATAAAAAGAGCATGCCTGATTTATGTACAGTGAGGATTGATTTAGGAGGAGACCTTGTGAGGTCCTTGGTTTTTATGAGCTGTCCGCGGTGCTGAAAATTCATCTTACGGTTTTCTTCTCTTCCTCCTGACAGCTTCTGCCTCTTCTCTCTCTACTTCAGCCATGCTTCTCTGATCGATTTTGTGATTGCACTCATTCACACCCATTTGCCCACTCATACCACAGGGAATTATAGTTATTTAAAAGGTTCAAGTCACTTGTAAAGCATTTAGAAAGTCGCACTCATGGCCAATGCTTTTGCTCCATATTTATTGATTATACTTCTTTTTAAATGTTTGGGAAAGCCATACCTGTGAAAACATCTTAACCGCATATGACACCTATTGTAGCGTATGATTGTTTTACTCTTTTGTGTCTGTATTTATTGTAGCAAAGTTCTTATGCTGCCTGGTGATGATGAGACTTTTACCTAGGAAAATGAAAGGCAGAAAGAGTACACCACTTTGATTTTCATCCACTCAGACAGCCCTTTATTGCACTGACAATGACAGAGGAGTTATTTTTCAGTATAAAAAACAAGAGGCAACAATACTACCTGTACAAAGCCACAAAAAAAGTGTGAGATACAGTATCTTCAAGCTGCTTTTTAGAATAGTGATTGTATCTGTAGTTTGAAAGGTCACTCCAACAGCCAGGGATTATAGCTCAAATTGAGTCCTCTCTAACCTTCACTGATCATGAAAAAGTCGTCCGAGCTTTTATCTCCTCTCGCCGCGTGGACTTTAGTAATTCACTTTATGCAGGGCTGAGCCACAAGGCGAGCTCTCACCTTCAGTAAATCCAAAATAGTGAACCTATGGGCTGTTGACTAATGCCAAGAGATGAGAACATGTTGCCCCTGATTTAGCCTTTATTCACTGGCTGTCTGTGTGCTTCAGAATATATTTTAGGCTTCACAGAGTCCATGTCCTTGATACATTTATAGATGATATACTTACATTTAGCTCCCATACTATGTCACAGATCCTCTGATCGGTTTAATGGTTCTATTTTGTGGTGTAAAACACTATAAGTGCTACCAAAGTGTGAGAAAGACGCATAATCCCAGTGTGTAAATACACAGCTCTCTATTGACGTTACACTGACGATGCATGTTTAATTGAAGAGGACATTGGCCTCATTCTGAGTCAGTAGTACGTCCAAATCTGCTCTACAGACTCAGGACTGCAGCAGAGCCGCTCTGCACCTCATATCGAACGTGCTCTCAAACTGCGTCGGGTGGAATACTAATGGCAGAATTAGCCATCCTACATTTTTCCCCCAATCAATTTTCTCCACATTTAAAGTTGTCTTTCATTTGTGGAGTGAAGACATCGATTGCTGTTACTGTAAAATGAACAGTTGGAGAGTTTCGCTCTCCAGGGTTCCTTTGAGACATTATTTTTTGTGAATAGTTTGAGACTAAGAGGGACTGAAACCAACGACTGATGGAAAAATATGCGGCTTGTATGTGTCTTAGGGCTGGAAGATTATGGCAAAAATAATAATCACGATTATTTTGATTGATATTGAAATCACGATTAATAAACACGATTATTCATTGATTTCAAAACTCCACCAAAACTCAACTTTAATTATAACTTAAAAGAACAGCCAGAAATAAATTAGTAACAAGTAAACAAGTACAAAAAATAAAAATAATAATAGTAAATTAAAATAATAATAGCAATAAAAACAATAAATAAAAATAAATACTAGGGCTGACCCAAGTTCGATAGCACGGGATTCGATTGTGGAAAAAAAATCGAATATTTGGCCTTTTTTTTCTCCCGTTTTTTTGGGGGGGACCTTGAAGGCAACACCATCTCCGACAAGAAAATAGAAAGCCCGACGTGCAGTGAATGGAGACCTATTATCCTGCTTGAACACAGATAGCTAAATTCTTTCAACAATGTGACTCAAAATAATGATAAAATAGATTTTATTGATGTAAAATAATATGCTGATGGTGACATTTTCCACCGGTCTGCTGCGCTCTGAGTCTGGTGTCAGTGACACATGCTGCTCTGAGTCGCGCATCTGTCTGCTTGCGATGCAGTGCGCACCAAGGGTTTTAATTTTTAGTGTTAAATCAAAAGTTAAACACTACTTATCAGCAACCAGAAGTGCTTTTTCGTTTGTGAATATTTTTATCTTAATTCTAGGGTTGCAAGAAACTACCTTTACGCCATAATTTGTAAGTTATTAACTTTTTTGGACTTTTTTTCCCGCTCGTGTTGCCTTGGGGGGCAGACACGACAGCGTGACAATGACAGATGACTGAAGTTGTCCTACCTTTCTTCTCAACCAAAGGCTGCCTTTCTGCCATGTTCTCAATCGCTCGCTCCACATATTATTGATCCACACACGTCACACGCTTGCTGCTGCTGCACATAACACAGGTGCATTCACTTACATACACGCCGCGCTGTGCGGCGCATTAATCGTTTTTCTTCGATTATAATGTTTTTATGATCGTGAGAAGCCAAAATCGAAATCATGATTAAAATTCGATTAATCGTCCAGCCCTAATGTGTCTACATCTCTCTGTTGTAGTATTTCTTAACTTTCTCTATTCACACTTGTCTCATTGTCAGCAAATACATATTCATGTGCTACTATTAAGCCATCCACAATGATGATGGTGCAGCCATGACTATGAATACCACACTTTGTGTTTGAGGAGTCTAAATACTGGATTGAATCAATAATTGAATCAGGCCTCAAACCGCAACACTGTGAGAAAACCTATACTTCTTTAGAGGTTAAAGGTCCAGCGTGTAGGACTGAGGGGCATTTATGAGATTCATAACTGTGTTTATAATCACCTGAAAATAAATTTAGAACAGGCTGCTTATATCAACATACAGAGTTAGTCCTTTTCCACTGAGGCCTCCATGTCTACAGTAGCCCAGAATGGACAAACCAAACACTGGCTCCAGATAGGGCCATTTGCGTTTTGTGTTTTCACATTGGTCACCCTATTTCTCCTAAACGCTTTCCACTCAGGAGAAATTTCAGTTCTACAACCTCACCACTAGATGCCACTAAATCCCCCACACTGGACCTTTACATGATTCAATATGCATATTTTGAGTACATTTAATTCCTTCAATAGCTTTATCAATCATAGCTTCTTACTAAAACATATTAACGCATCACAACATTATTTATCCCTACAGTTTAGAGCCATATCATAAACTATGGACACAGCTCAGTGGATTTAAGCTTCTGGCATATTTGACAGATGAAATGTCACCTTTGAATAAGCTGCTGTCTGGACTCTGTTGATGAATGCATTTGTGACAGCAATCACATCTGATCTAGCCTCCTCACCTCGGATTGAACTCTACTCCCACAGAGTATCCACATTCAAAGCCCCACTCATCAGTATTTTTCTATTAAGGTTCAGTCAATTCACTGTGTGTAATGTGAAAGCGGTCTGAGTAATAAATCCAAAGAGAATTATCACCTATCTTGGCTGCTCCACAAAGCTGTGGTCGGCTCGTTCTCACAGCTCTCATCAACCCTGTTTCCAGCAGCAGCAGGCAGCTGTTTTCAGCAAATAGGCTCCGATAAACCCACTGTACTCAACCTTCAGACAAAGTTAGCAACTAGATTGGGAAGAAAGTGGAATATCTAGCCGCTCAGGACGTTGGTGGAAAACAAACCAGACATAAGGAGAGTCAATATTGACAGAAATGTGACTCCAAGTGAGTGATAATGTTGATCCACGTCTGCAGGATGTGTGAACAGGCAATTTTTCTTTAGCAAACAAGCTAGCTATAAAATCTTCATAAGTTTATTTGTCAGAGCTGTTTGTCTCCCGGCTATGTTTGGAGAATGTGATCTTATCCTTACTTTTCATACTTTGCCGCTTGGGCAGAGGCCCCAGTGTTAATATAATGACTACAGGGCAGCCTTTTGTGTTGTATCTCAATGCAGAAGGGGTTTGTGGTTAAGTTTAGGTGACAAAACCACTTGGTTATGGTTAGGAAAAGATCATAGATGTTAAAAAACACCGTACTTTGGTGGCACAAATGCCACAGCTGATATTTTTGTTTGTTAGTCTTGAACCCCGGCCTCCCAGGTCAAAGTCCTGTGCTTGTTGACCCATCCACTTCCACTCTCACCCACCGTGATAGGACTTTCGTGCTCTTTAAACTATGTCTGCTGCTCTGAAAGTGTAATAATGAAGCAGGTGGGTTTACATTGAAGTTGGATGAAACCCCTCTGCGTCTCACACAGATGCTAAAGGGTGACCCTGGCATCATTTTCACTGCCCAAGCATTGTATTTCGTCTCTCTGTCGCTCGTTTTGAGTTGTCTTAGCCAACAAATAATGCCAGGAATAATGCCTTTAAAGACCGCACTATACAACCCAATCTGATTATTTCCACCAAGTGTAGATTGTGTTTTGATTCTGTTGCAGTTTTACTCATTTGCTGAGGCAGAATGTTATATGAAAGT